CACTCCAGTGGCTTTTCTGTCTGACGCCCTCTCGCGCCCCAGAGGGCGAGGAAGGAAAGCCGGGCAGCAGGCGGCGGAGGCGCCCGAGGAAGGGGGAGGAGCTGCCGCCTCGGCAGGCATCGGCGGGCCACCGAGGAGGTGCACCGCCAGCCCGTAACGCAATGACGCACGGTGAGGGTGCGACGGCGGGTGGACTGCAAAGTGTCCACGCGTGTCTCGCCAAGACCTTGGGTTACCAAAGCACGTCGAACAAAAATGTACCCCCCCCTTCCCCCAAGTTCAAAGCTTACGGGTTTGGGCGACAGGCCAAAGGCCAGGGACAAAACATGCACACTGCAACTTTGGGTTTGGGGGAGGGGTGCGGAGCAAGGGCATTTCGCAGTTGCGGCTGCTATCATGCTGCATCGCCTTACCGACATGGGTGTTGACACTTCTGTCCGGGCACCTCGGGGCTTTGGAAGGCCATGCCGACACTTTGCAAGCGGGGCGCGCCAGCAAAAGCGGCCAATGATGGGCCGAAGGGGAAGGATGCAATAACAATCCTGGAAAACTCGCTCGTCCTTACCGTGCGGGTCGACTGTGCCGTGAGCAGCCTCGCTGCTACGAGTCTGTGGGCACGCCTGCAATCGACATCTGGCTTCGTCCGGCTCACCCCTCCCCCTGCCACCTCCCCTGGGCTTGGGCAGGGGCACCCCGCGAGGGGTACAGAGCGCCTAAGATTACCCCAGGTGGTCCCAGGGGAGGAGGAGGAGGAGGAGGAGGAGGAGGAGGAGGAGGAGGAGGAGGAGGAGGAGGAGGAGGAGGAGGAGGAGGAGGAGGAGGAGGGAGGAGGAGGAGGAGGAGGAGGGGAGGAGGAGGAGGAGGAGGAGGAGGAGGAGGAGGAGGAGGAGGAGGAGGAGGGGAGGGGGGACCCCTCCCCCTGCCACCTCCCCTGGGCTTGGGCAGGGGCACCCCGCGAGGGGTACAGAGCGCCTAAGGTTACCCCACAGGTGGTCCCAGGGGCCAGCGGGGAGACAGACTGACTACCTACCAGACCACCCCAACCCAACCCGAAGACCCGAATTTCGGGTTGGGGGGGTAAGGGTTCCACACGTGTTTTTTCGATGTTTCCCGACCCCCCCAACTGGACATCGAGGGCAAATTGAAGCCTTCGGGTTGGGTTGGGGTGGTTTGGTGGGTGGTGACAGACCTCTACGCGGGGCACCTGCTGGCAAAAGCAAGCCTTCCACGTGGCCGCTCCCGGCAAACCAGGCATGCCGACGCCTCGCTCCCCCTCCCACCGGCCTCCGCCGCCTGACCCGCTGCCGTCTTGCTTCGCCCCGCTGCTTTTCTGCTGCTCGGGGAACGAAGGACTCCCAGCGACACACGAGCGCTGGACCACGCCGCGCGGCCTCCCCTCGGAGGTAACGCGGAATGCAGAGGAGCGGGTGCACAGAAACGAGCGCCACGGGCGGCAACACCGAAATCGCCCCGCTGCTGCTTTACGTCCGCCGGCCTCCCCCGAGGGCGAGCCGGGCCGAAGGCGAGGCCCTCTCTGGGACGCCGCATTCGTATGTGCTGAGACGGCAGAAAGGAAAACGACATGCACAGAACCCAGGGTCGCGTTCTTCTTCACACCCCAGTCAGGAGCTTTTGGATAGCGCGTCGCCACGGCGCCTGCGGCGACACGCTGTCTTGCGAGCAGCGCGTCGCTCCGCTCCGCGGGGCGGGGTGTCGGGAAATGCTGGCGACGTTGAAACTGTGGGGACCGCGAAGTGAATAGCGTGTCGCGACGCAGCGTGGTGGGCCAGAACTGGCGGAGCGGCACGGCATCCCCAAGTTCCTGGTCGCACCCGTCGGTCGGAAGCAGTGGGCAGAAGCATGAAGCAGGAAGGCGTCGGAAGCAGACCGGGCCTCCCCCCGCCACCCGAGGAGGGGAGGGGGCTGACCGCTCGACTCTTGTAGTAGGGAGGCGCCCGAAGTAGGTTTTGAGCAGGGGCCGACCGTCCCGGCATTCCTATTGGCCTACCACGAATGTTCTTAGAGCCCAAAAATGTTCAGATAACAAGAGCAACGTTCTTAGAACATAAACCCGACGTGCTAAAACAAGACAGACTACGCCAGAAATGTTCTAAGAACCTTTCGTGGGAACCACAGAAGGTTCTTAGAACATTGTTTGGTGGGGCTATAGGCGAGCCAGGACGCTTCGCCACTGCTTGAAGAGTGGACCCTGGGCACCCAGAACTGGACCTGCGCCTCCAGCGACCGGCGCCCCCTCCTCCTCCGCCTCCTCCGCTGCTCCTCCGCCTCCCCCTCCTCCTCCTCCTCCTCCGCCTCCACCTCCTCCCCGAGCTTCGGCTGCGAGGCCTCCGCCTCCTCCTCCGCCTCCGCTCCTCCTCCGCCTCCGCTCCTCCGCCTCCCAGAGGCGTCCCCTCCCCCTCCGCCTCCCGCTCCCGCTCCGCCCACTCCTCCCCGCGCTTCGGCCGCGAGGCCCGCCCTGCCTCGCCCCCACTTGCTCGGCGGCCTCCCGGCCAGAGCAGACCGGGGCCCTGACGGGGCCCCAGGACACACGAACAAATACACATAAAGAACAGGATTCCCCATACCTTCCCATAGTTTCTAAGTTTTGTCTTCCCCACCACTTCCCATACTTTCCCCATATCTTCCTGGGGAAGCGACAACCAATGGTGCCTGTGTGTTTTTATTCTCCCTCCTGAGGTCCGTCGTCCCAGGGCCGCGCCTCTGCCCGCCTCCGCTGCGCTGCGCCCCCCCCCCCCGGTCGGTCCTTGAGGTCCAGCTCCTTCCAGTCGGCGGCCGAGGGCTCGGCCCGCTGGGACCCCCTCTTGCGCGCGGGCCTGATGAGGCCGTTGCTGAAGACGAAGTTCGACAGCTCCTCTATCGTCCAGTCCCTCTCCTGCGCCGGGAGCCCAGCGGCAGGTGCGGCTCCTCCTCCTCCGCCTCCGTCGCCTCCTCCGCCCCCTCTCTCTTGGCTCGAGCCTGGCGCGGCCGCCGGCACCGTGGGCTCGCGCGCGCAGCCCGGCCCCCGGAGGCCTCTCTGGTGGTTGGCAGCTCGTGCGCCGCCCGCGCGTCGGCGCGCCGTCTGCCCCAGGCCGGAGGCTCCCGGCTCGCCGTGCGGGCCCTTCCTGTGCGCACGGGGCGGGCGCTCGTCGTGCGTGACTGGCGAAGGCGTCTGCGCACAGGCTGGCGCGGCGGTGGCGTCGAGCGGCGTCAGCCATTGGGGGTGCAGCCGGCTCTGCCTCGACAGCCTCGGCACGTTGAGCTTCCTCCACTGCGAGCGGAACCTCTTGGACCCCAATATCAGCGCAGCGGATGCGGCCGTCCAACGGTTGCCCTGTCCGCGACGTCAAGCTCGGGGTCGCCACCGTTCAGAAGGCTGGCTCGTAGCCCGAGGAGTTGGACGTTTCGAGGCGCTGGACCTATTGAACAAACAGATTTTGCCCAATCCACAAATCTACCGCCTGTTGTAGCGGACGGCCAACCTGCGGTCATGGAGAAGGTGTTCCAGACGGTTCCCATACCACTGGCGGCAGATGCAGATGTCCAGAAGCTGGGTCGCAGACGCGCAGGCTGAGGCCACCACTGAGCAGACTGACTGCTTGATTGGAAGGGCACCCCTCAATCAGCAGCCGCGCAATTCGCAATCCGACGCAGCAATCTCCGGGTGACGAACGCCGACAGAACAAAAAAACGCATTACGTTTCCGAGGTCAGCGCGGCCTTCTGGAGCCGGCGCTGTCCACGCCTCCCCATACACTCTCCCTGACGCGCTGAACGAGCCGGGGCTGGCGCTGGAGGCGCCGCCCAAGGTGTGGGCAGTGGGATCCAACGTCGACCGAAGAGATCCGCGCGGACCTTCAACGGTTTATGCTTGTGCCGTTCTCTGGTCTTCAGATCTGACCACACGGTCCATGTCATGTCTCGGAGCTGTGGCCCCCGACGGACGACCAACAGCTCGCCCGACTGGTGCGTGTGACCGCGGTGGGAGGGGAGAGAGAGAGAGATCAGATTCCTCCTCCCTCCTCCCCCTATCCCCCTTCCCCTCCTCCCCCTCCTCGTCCTCCCCCTATCCCCCTTCCCCTCACTCCTCCCCCTCACTCCTCCTCACTCCTCCCCCTGCTCACTCCTCACTCCTCACTCCTCCTCGTCCTCACTCCTCCCCCTCCTCCCCACTCCTCCCCACTCCTCCCCCTCCTCGTCCTCCCCCGATCCCCCTGCCCCTCCTCTTCCTCCCGTGCGCCCCCCGCGTGCGGAGGAGAGGACGGAGGAGAAGGGAGGGACGGGGGAGGGCGCGAGCGGAGGCGCGCGCGCGGAGGAGGGCGGAGTGCAAGAGGGGGAGGAGGAGGAGGAGGAGGAGGAGGAGGAGGAGGAGGAGGAGGAGGAGGAGGAGGAGGAGGAGGAGGAGGAGGAGGAGGAGGAGGAGGAGGAGGAGGAGGAGGAGGGGGAGGAGGAGGAGGAGGGGGAAGTCCTTACGATACCCAATCGGTATAGCCGATGCTGCAGCACACCCTTCCGTCCCAGGCCTCTGCGCGAATTTGTGCCGCTCCGAGACGCGCTCTCTTGAATTACCAGCCTGGAGCATATCCCTATCCCTATGCTGGGCATCTCCTCATCACGATGCCAATCTTAGGGATTCCCTTATTTTTTGAGGGCGCATCCCAAATATTGTTATCGCTTTTTGGCGTGTCAATCTTAGGGATAGGGATATGTTCGAGGCTGGAAATTGAAAGGCGAGCACCCCACAGACCCACGACTCGGGCGGGAGTTCCGTTCTGAAAAGGGAGTTGCCCTCCATCCTTCGAGCTAGAAGGAATGCGACGAGGTGAGGCCATGACATTCAAGGACATCCTCAACGACCACCCCGCTTTGAAAAAAAGACCCGCCGTCCATCCGCGTAGCGGCTGCCCAATGTCAAACTTATGGCCAAACAACAAAGTGATGTCTCAAACGAGAGCCCCCTTTAGAACAAAACTAGCCCTTCATCCATCGAACTGTTGCACAGATCTGAGCGTACATATCAGATTGCGGACGTCAAAAGCGAGAACCCCGTCCTGAAACGTCACCGCCCTCTACCCGTGAAGCTCACGCACACCTGTAATCATGGCAATGCATGTGGAAGGAGTCTCAAAGCATCCTCCCATATTCTCTGAAGGAGCCGCCATCCGTCCGTGTGACCGTTGGTCATCTCTGAACGAGTGCGCGCGGTGCCAACGCGATAACCCCATGTGCAAAACGACCCGCACTCGACCTGTGCGACTGTTAGACGTGTTGAGCTTCAACACCGTCAAGATGAAGACGTCTCCAGCGAAGCACCCTTGCCGCCCGGACTAGACGTCCGCTAATGGCCCGACGGGGAGGCGTTGTTTTTTGTTGTTATATCCCTATATAACTTTATATAAGGAACGGGGATGGAAGAGGCAAGAGGAGGGAAAGGGGATGAGACACGAGGACGCCTATGCAAATTTTCATTGAGCCGTGGGAAGTCCCACAGACCGACCGATGCGGACGAGGAGAACCCTGGAGGAACAAGCAGGAAGTGGATGAGGAGAAATCAGGATCGGGGAGACGTACGACTCGGGTTTGGGGGACTCCAGTTGGCCTGGGCGGGCCATCATGAAAATGACGGGACCCAATCTGAAATTTGACGCGAGCTCCCGCTGCAAACATCCGAGGAAAACTGGACCGCCAAAATCAAGGACGCGCTCGTCAAAAAGCGAAGGCGAACCCGAGTTCGGGCGTACTCGAGTCTTACGCTTCCTCGACAGAAAAACGAAGACATCCACGCCGTCCCTCTCGTTACTGCTCGTCCCCACCCTTCTAATCCTCCTTCTCCTCCTCCTGCCTTCCGCGACCCCTAGATTTAGGTCGGGCATGTCCCCCTACAGGCCGATTTTGTAAGACAGAAAAAAAAGCAACAAAGACTCAAACATCCGCCGACCCTGTCGGCGTGTGTGAGGGGCTTGTCCGTTCAACTCGTCATCTCCGTCATTCGTTGGTCGTTGTCTCTGTCGTCCCCTTTCCCTGCCTCCCCCCTCTCTGTCATTCGTTGGTCGTACTTGAGTCGACGGGCAGCCCCAGGGACCTCCTCAGCGCGCCAGCCAAAGCGAAATTGACCAAAGTCGTAATGGAGTCGAAGGGAAGCCCCTTCCCTTCGATCCCTCCCCCGCCGGGGGGAGGAGGGGGGGGTCAGGGGGGGTCCTGGGGGGGGGGAGGGGGTCAAACGCCCCACCCACCCCCCTGGGGAGTCCCGGAGCTCCAAAAAGCCCCAAGACGGGCCAAAAGTGCCCCAAGAGGCCCCAAAGACAGTCCAAGAGAACCCCGAATCGCCGAACGATCTGTCCAAGACGCCTTGACGGCCTCCACACGGCCCAAGAGGCCTGCAAAGCGCCCCAGGAGCTTTCTTACGAGAGCCCCAGTCGGCAAAATTCATGGATTTCCCATACATGTTTGAAAGATTTTGGCGTTCTTGCCTCTTCCGCTTCCCGACGCGCCAAGACGGCCCAAGAGGCCCCCAAGATCGCCCTGAGACGGCCAAAGAGGCCCCCAAGAGGCCCTCAAGACGGCTCCAGGAGAGTGCCCAGACAGGGGACCCGAACGGACATGTCGAGCTCTCAGCCCCAAGATGCCCCCAAGAGGCCCCGAAGAAGCCCCAAGAGGCCCCAAGAGCCTTCCAAGGGGCCCCCAAACTGCCCCAAGACAGCCCAGGCGAGCCCCAGATTGCCCAGGAGGCCTCCAAGAGTGCCTCGAGACGGCGCAAGAGGAGCCCTGGACGGCCCAAGACGGCCTCAGGAGAGCCACAGGCTGTCCCAAGAAAGCCTCTGGCCTCCTCCTCTTCCTCCTCCTCCTCTTCCTCCTCCCATCCCCCTCTGCTCCCCCTCCTCCTGCTCTCCTCTGCCTCCTTCTCATTCTCCTCCTCTTGCTTCTCCTCCACATCCTTCTCCCCCCTCCTCCTCTGTCATCCACCTCCTCCACCCTGCCCGCCCCTCGTTTTCATCTTCGTCGCTCTCAGGGTCGGCGGCAACGGCCGTAAGGCCTTCGCAATATATAGTCGAAACGTCGGCCACCGAATTTTAATAACAATTTTTGCCCTCCTGTAGAGGGACATGCCCGACTTGATTCTAGATTCTCGTCCCCGATCCCCGACCCTCGAATTCCCTGCCTCCGCGACCTCCCAATCACCGCTCTGACGACGCACCTGCCCGGGTCGGTGCTGACCTGGGTCAGCCGGGGCCGAGGGACGAGGGAGCACGGGGAATGAGAGGGAGGAGGGAGGAGGGATGAGGATGAGGGAGGAGGACGGAGGAGGGAGGGAGGGAGGAGGGAGTAGGGGGGAGGAGGGAGGGAGGGAGGAGGAGGAGGGAGGAGGAGAGAGGGGCGGGGCGGAGGATGAGGAGAGAGGGAGGAGGGAGAGGGAGGGAGGGAGGGGGGAGGGAGGAGGAAGAGAAGGGAGATGGGGGCACAGGGCCTCTGCCTCCTCGTCCTGCTCCTCCTCCTGCCTGTGTCGAGAACCTGGGCCGGCCACGAAGGAGCTCCCAAACCCGGGTCAGCGGAGGGCCGGGCGGGTGGGTTCAGGGAGCCCACAAAGGGTGGTGACTACCTGCCAGACCACCCCAACCCAACCCGAAGACCCGAATCTGACCCGAATCTCGGGTTGCGGGGGGTGGGGTACGGGTGCCATGTGTTTTTTCAATGTTCCCCGGCCCCCCCCCCCACTGGAATTGGAGGGCAAATTGAGGCCTTCGGGCTGGGGGGAGGGGCAGGAGGAGGAGGAGGAGGAGGAGGAGGAGGAGGAGGAGGAGGAGGAGGAGGAGGAGGAGGAGGAGGAGGAGGAGGAGGAGGAGGAGGAGGAGGAGGGGGAGGGGGAGGAGGAGGAGGAGGAGTTGGGGTGGTTTGTTGGGTGGTGAGGTGGGTCGGCTCCACGTGGCTTCGAAACCTGGGTCCGGAAGAGATTGGCCGACCCCCCCTTGCCCCCTTGATGCTGACCCATGTTCTGGCGTCCCCGACCGATCGATTCCCGATCCTGGGTCCTCGATCCCTCCTCCCCGAACCTCGATCCTCGACCCTCGATCCCCGACCCCCGATCCCCGATCCTCGATCCTCAGTCCCTGATGCTCGATCCCCTGCGTCCCCGGTCTAGAAGAAGAAAACATGGCATAAACATCAACTTGTGGAGATCCGCACGGAGTTCTAGGACAGGCGCTGGACCACTCTCTTTGGTGCGCGAAGCGCACCAGGGGGGGGCGCCAGAGGCGCCGCCGGGGAAGCCCGCCGCAGATCCGAGACATCCGCGCGAATCTCTAACAATTTATGCTTCTGCCGCTTCTTCTCTTCCGACGGTCCACGATCCCTATTCCCTGTGATCCCGGATCCCCGATCCCGGGTTTCCAATCCCCGATGCCCGATCACGGATCCCGTGCACCCAGTCCCAGATCGATCCCTAATCTCGGGCGGGAAGTAACGGGGGGTGGCCCAAATTCGGCTACGCGTAAGAGTGACCCTGGGTAAGAGTGACCTTTGGTGCGCGGCTTCTTGGGGGCCGCGGGGGGCCCAAACACAAGCGCGCAAGACGCCACTGCCGCCTCGCGTTCGGCGATCGGGGACCCCAATGGGCCCGCACCAAAGGTCACTCCGGCGAAGGGTCACTCTTACGTGTAGTCGAAAAAAGGGGGGTGAAGCAAAGGGCCCTTTGCTTCAGCCCCCATGTGGGTCACCCCCTATGCCACCCGCCCGCGTGGAGATCCAGCGCTCGCTGAGGGCCGCATCACGGTGCCAGGCCTACTCGCGCAGGTCTAGCGCTGAGGCGCGGTTTGCTCGCGTTATTTTCCAGTGCCCGGCCGGTTCGATCCTCGGCCTGTCCCACCCCCCATTACCATCAGGTCGGGCATGCCCCCCTACAGACAGTGGACGAAAAATCAAGAATACTCAAAACGATTCCATCATAGTTGAAACACATGCTCGCGAAATCGTCCCCAGACTGCTTTTTGTTGACTACTCTTGCATACTCCTCCTGCAGAGGGACATGCCCGACTTCACATCACCACCCGCCCGACCATCCCCGATCGCCGGCCCCCGCCCCCCCCGGTCCCCAATCCGTGAGCCCGCGATCCCTCGACCGCCCCCGCAGAGCCGGGGGGCTCTCCTTGGGCGGCGCGCAGAAGGGGGTAGGGGGAGGGGGGGGCTTCTTAGAAGCACCCTGCTTCTTAGAAGGCCTCGGCCTTACGTCTACAGAGAGGGCCCGCGCCTTCGAAGAAGCAGGGGTGCTTCTAAGCAGCCCTCCCCCCTCCCCACGCCCCCCTCTGCGCGTGGCTGAGACCCCTCGACCGCCCCCGCAGAGCGGGGGGGGCTCTCCTGCTCCGGCGTGGGCACCTCGCCGGTGAAGGCGGGGCACCGCTCGAGGAGATCGGCCAGGCGCCTCGTGACCTTCACCTCGCTCTCTCGCGGGCAGGCTGGGAGGACCGCCTGCGCCTCCGTCCTCGTCGCAGCCGTCGTCGTCGTCGCCGTCGTCGCCGTCCTTGTCCTCGTCCTCGTCCTCGTCCTCGTCGTCGTCGTCGTCGTCGTCGTCGTCGTCGTCGTCGTCGTCGTCGTCGTCAGCATCGTCGTCACCGGCATCCTCGTCGTCGTCGTCGTCGTCGTCGTCGTCGTCGTCGTCCTCGTCGCCGTCGTCTTCCCCGTCTTCGTCGTCGCTGTCCTCATCCCTGCCGTCGTCCTCGTCCTCGTCGTCGCCGTCGTCGTCGCCGTCGTCGTCGTCGTCCCCGCTGTCGTCGTCGTCCTCGTCGTTGTCGTCGTCCTTGTCCTTGTCCTTGTCGTCGTTGTCGTCGTCGTCGTCGTTGTCGTCGTCTCGTCGCCGTCGTCGTCGCCGTCGTCGTCGCCGCCGCAGCCGTCGTCGAAGCCGTCGCCTCGGGCTCCTCCTCGGCCTCCGCGGCGCCCTCCGCTGGGCCGCCAGGGGTGGAGGGGCACCGGCGGCGCTTGCGGTCGAGGCTCCGGCAGCAGGCGTAGCCCCACGCCTTCTGCTCCGCGTCGTACCAGCTGCCCCAGACCTCTTCAGTGAGGGGGGGGGGAGGGAGGAGGAGGAGGGGAGGAGGAGGAGGAGGAGGAGGAGGAGGAGGAGGAGGCGGAGGAGGAGGAGGAGGAGGAGGAGGAGGTGGAGGTGGAGTAGGAGGAGGCGAATGAGGATGAGGATGAGGATGATGATGATGAGGAGGAGCCGCCGGAGGAGGAGGAGGAGGAGGAGGAGGAGGAGGAGGAGGCGGAGGAGGAGGAGGAAGAGTAGGTGGAGGACCAGCATAAATCCAAGACCTATCAACGAGGTTGCAATCAACCCTCCCTTCAAGTTCCTTCTTCATAGGACTCTATAAAGACCCATTGTCAACAAAAAAGAAGTGCCCCGTTGCAAGAAATAAGCCTGGCGAAGGACCAAACCATATGCAGTTGTGAATACCGCAAATATGAATATCGTTTTCGGTGGCGCTATCTCTGGGTGGAACCGCATGCGGGCACCCCCGCAGGGGCCTTCGGTGGAGCTCCCTTTGGGGCTACGAGACGCTGCCCTGGGTGGGGGAACCGCATGCGGGCACCCCCACTGGGGCCTTCGGTGGAGCTCCCTATGGGGCCACGAAACGCTGCCCTGGGTGGGGGAACCGCATGCGGGCACCCCCACTGGGGCCTACGGTGGAGCTCCCTATGGGGCTACGAAGCGCTGCCCTGGGTGGGGGAACCGCATGCGGGCACCCCCACTGGGGCCTCGGTGGAGCGCCCTATGGGGCTACGAAGCGCTGCCCTGGGTGGGGAACCGCATGCGGGCACCCCCACTGGGGCCTTCGGTGGAGCGCCCTATGGGGCTACGAAGCGCTGCCCTGGGTGGAGGAACCGCATGCGGGCGGGAGGGGGGGGGGGGAGGGGGGGAGGGGGGAAGGAAGGAAGGAAGGAAGGAAGGAAGGAAGGAAGGAAGGAAGGAAGGAAGGAGACGCGGGGCGCTGTCTCTTCAAAACGGGGACCCAACACCACAGGATGGTTGGGAAAAAGTGTTTGAGAACTGGCACCGTTCCGGGGACTTCAACGCCGTGAATCAAGATGCGTCCTGACGATCCAGAATCGCATCAAAACGCCATTCCTGGGGCTTCAACTCCGCGAATCAATGTAAATGGTGTGCCTCGTCAGACCTACATACATCTTGCCGACGCACCATTTCTGGGACGTCAACCATAGGAATCCCTGAAACTGCTGCACACTCTTAAGACGAATGTGTGCGGCGCCACAACGAGAACACCATTACGAAAAGGTACCGCCCTCCATCCGTGCAACTCTTTCAAAGTGTTGGGATGGATGTGCGCGGCACTCGGGCGAGAACCATGTTTTGAAAACCGCCCGCCCTCCATCCGTGAAGCTTTTTAACTTAAAAGCGCATAAGTTCTCGGCGCTGAGACGAGAGCCACCTTTTGAAAACCGCTCGTCCTCCATCCTCGAGAATGTTGCACAATTCTAACTCAAAGGGTCATAAGTGGTGAGGAAATCTCCGGCGACACGCCCCGCCCGCCCTACCAACACGTCTCGGGGTGCGGCAGGGAGGAATGACGTAGGGGAACGAAAAATTACATAAACATGAAACATTGGAGGTCCACGCTGATTTCTCGGATCGGCGCTGGACCCCCCCCTCCCTGGCGCGCGGATCGCGCCAGGGGCGGCGCTGGAGGCGCCGCCAAGGGGGTCCAGCGCCGATCCGAGGAATGGGCGCGGACCCCCGAGTTGATTCATGTTTGTGCCACTCTTCGTCCCCCTCTGATGTCCAAGATCAGAAAGGGTGGAGGAGGAGGGGGAGGAGGAGGAGGAGAGGAGGAAGCGTTTTCATGTTTGTGCCACTCTTTGTCCCCCTCTGACGTCCAAGATCAGAAAGGGTGGAGGAGGAGGGGGAGGGGGAGGAGGAGAGGAGGAAGCGTTTTCATGTTTGTGCCACTCTTCGTCCCCCTCTGATGTCCAAGATCAGAAAGGGTGGAGGAGGAGGAGAGGGGAGGAGGGAGGAGGAGAGGAGGAAGCGTTTTCATGTTTGTGCCACTCTTCGTCCCCCTCTGACGTCCAAGATCAGAAAGGGTGGAGGAGGGGGAGGAGGGAGGAGGAGAGGAGGAAGCGTTTTCATGTTTGTGCCACTCTTCGTCCCCCTCTGATGTCCAAGATCAGAAAGGGTGGAGGAGGAGGGGGAGGAGGAGGAGGAGAGGAGGAAGCGTTTTCATGTTTGTGCCACTCTTCGTCCCCCTCTGATGTCCAAGATCAGAAAGGGTGGAGGAGGAGGGGGAGGAGGAGGAGAGGAGGAAGCGTTTTCATGTTTGTGCCACTCTTCGTCCCCCTCTGATGTCCAAGATCAGAAAGGGTGGAGGAGGAGGGGAGGGGGAGGAGGAGGAGAGGAGGAAGCGTTTTCATGTTTGTGCCACTCTTCGTCCCCCTCTGATGTCCAAGATCAGAACGGGTGGAGGAGGAGGGGGAGGAGGAGGAGAGGAGGAGGAAGCGTTTTCATGTTTGTGCCACTCTTCGTCCCCCTCTGATGTCCAAGATCAGAAAGGGTGGAGGAGGAGGGGGAGGGGGAGGAGGAGAGGAGGAAGCGTTTTCATGTTTGTGCCACTTCGTCCCCCTCTGACGTCCAAGATAAAAAGGGTGGAGGAGGAGGGGGAGGAGGAGGAGGAGGAGAGGAGGAAGGACCAGGACCGAGACGCCCAAACTCCGCGTGCCGCGCTCCGCCCTCGCGCCACCGCGCGGCCCGCTGCGCGCCCTCGCGCCGCGGGCCCTGGAGGAGGGCACCTCTCTGGCCCAGGCCGCGGCGCGCGGAGCGCGGCTGTGTCGGGCGTTGGCAGGACTCGGTCTATGTCGGGCCTGTCCCCCTACAAGGGGATTTTCGACGAAAAATCAAAAATACCACAAAAATGCAAAAAAATGCTCCAAAAATAGTCTGGGGGGGCATTTTTTGAATATTTGTTGGCCTTTTTGGAATACTTTCGGCGTATTTTCTAAATCTTGTCGTCGAAAATCCCCCTGTAGGGGGACACGCCCGACATAAGACTCGGTTGAGAGTGGGACCCGGTTTGGTGAGCGTCCTCTGATTCGGCGTTTCGACACCGAGCGAGAAAAGGGGGGGAGGGGGGGGGGGACGTCTGGCTCCGGACCTCTGCGCGACTGTGTCAGGCGCTGGCAGGACTCGGTTGAGAGTGGGACCCGGTCTGGTGAGCGTCCTCTGATTCGGCGTTTCGGCACTGAGCGAGAAAAGGGGGGGAGGGGGGGGGGTCTGGCTCACCTCTGCTCGGTGCGACTGTCTGCAGCAGTGCGTCCTGTGGGGGGGGGGGACTCCAGCTGCTCGAAAAAGGCGCCCTAAAACAGCCAAGATCCACTCCATGCGGCGGGGGATGGGGGGGTGTGCGAGGGCCCGCGCCGATCGGCAAAACAGTGAATAAGAAAACGATCACTGGCTTTGCAGGGTTGAGTGGGAGGTCTCCACTGCTCTGGCTGCCCTCTCTCCCCCGCCCGATCGGGCCGACGCCACATGCGGATCGCAGTCGACTTCCCGAGGCGACGCCGACCGCTCCTGCCCCTCGTGGGTCCCTGGAGCCTCTGGGGTGGTGGTGGGGGGAAATTCGCGGGGCACTTGCTGGCAAGCTCCCTTGTTGTTGAAGGGGAACCTGGGGCACACAACTAAATAGACACACCTAAGAGGATTCCCCTTTTTGGGTTTTTGTCTTCCCCCCCACTTCCCATATTTTCCTCATTTTCTGGGGAATCGACGATTCATTGGGTCTGTTTTTTTTTTTTTTCCCCTCCTGAGTTACTCCAGGGCAGCAGGTGGCGGCCAAAGAGCCCCCGACCCTCTCCCCCCGGGGCAGCCTTCGATCCACAAGGGGGATGAGTGGGAGGTGCAGAAGGGGAGGGGGGGGGGGGGGAGGTTGGGGGATGGGGGCGGATTTCGAAGGGTGGGACGATGATGGGGGGGAGGAGTGGGGCGCGGATGAGGGGTGGGACTAGGAGCGTGGAGGGGGAGGCGGGGGAGGGGGAAGACGAAGAGAAGAGGGTCAGCGGGAGGATGATGAGGGTGAGGAGGGTGAAGGGGAAAGAGAAGGGACATGGGGTGGGAAGGAGGAAGATGGACAGGGGGGGAGTTCGGTAAAGGAGCAGGACGAGGAGTTATCCTTGGTTGAGTGAGGACTCCGTTTGAGGTTTCGTGGCTCACTGGCGCGGCATCTTCGTGGCAGGGTGGGTCAGGAGGGGAGGGGGAGGAGGCTGCCACCCGATCCTACCTCACCACAGTCAACGCGCATTGCACGGATGTGCGGTGAGGATACAAACCCCTAGGGCGCCCGAATTTTAGTCTATCATTGTTCGTGTCAAGCGTACATGAAGACATACACCAACCAATTGGCGAATGATGGGCCGAACAGGGAAGGATGTAAAAGGGTACGCGAGGGATGTTATTCATCCTTGCCGTGCGCGTCGCGTGCAATCAACTTCGCGCTCCGCGCTGTGTGACGCGCACCGCGGTTAATCTTCGCGCTCTCGCGCCGCCCCCCTGCGGAAGATCACCCGCGGATGGCTCGCCGGGTCTCCTGAGAAGGCAAGCAGCCATCACACAACATAGCGAGCGCGTGGTGGCCAGCATCTGCGCGCGCGTGCCTCACGTGTGAACATGTATAGGCCGGGGACCCGTCTAGTGCTGTGTGCGTCGAGGCCAACTGTACCGCCTTGATCCGGAGAAAATCAGTGCACACTTATCGTGCAACCTCAGGGGACGAGGCGACGGAGGAGGAGAAGGAGGAGGAAAATGAAGAGGAAGAGGAAGAGGATGGGGATGGGGATGGGGATGGGGATGGGGATGAGGATGGTGATGATGATGATGATGATGATGATGATGATGATGATGATGATGATGATGATGATGATGATGATGATGATGATGATGATGATAATTCGCCGGCCCAACGGGCCAGAGGCGTGCTAAGATCTCCGGTAACTGGTTAACAATTTTCTAGTTCGC